GAAAATAAAATATGGTCTCCAGAGCAATTCCAAGATGCATACTCTCTCCACTGACCTTGAAACCAAATTATTTTTATTTTATAAAAGGACGGGAAAGAAATCTTTACATATTCAAGCTGAAATGCTTTAGCATGAACTTCTACTCTTTCTTGGGAATGGTTAAAATTTATTTCAGTTGCCTATGGTTAGAAATTGTTTACATTTACAAAACTGCACTCTTGGCCACTGTAGTATTTCATATATAAAAACTTGAGTTTTACATTTTTCTTTTATGTGTTTCTAAAGGACAATTTAAAAAATCCTGTTATTGGCACAAGTGTTATACTCTCTTCAGCGTCTTCAAATTTTTAAATGGCACGCATCACTTTTTCATCTATTGACAGACTGAAGGTAAAAGCAAAAGTATGTAACAGGTTTTGAAGCTAGGAGAAAAAATTCCATCCAAACAAAGCCAAATTGCTAATCCCTAAACTTACAAATAACACAGTCTCCTGTAAAGAAGGTACATTCCAAATCAGTGAGAGCAGTTCAATCCAACCATCAATTCTACTGATTACTCAAGAGAAATGAAAAAGTTAGAGGTTAAAACTTAAAAATAAGATTGAGAATTTCAAAAGAGAGGCAGATACCAAGAAACATTTGAGCTTATGAATAAATTAAGTCAAAGAATGTTAAATTTACACCAAGAAAAATGTAGTATGGTTAAAATATAAAAAGTGTTTAAGTCTTTCCATTGTTCCACACAGATCACTAGATAATTGTTAGCCCAAATCTAACAGTCCAAAATATAAATTATTTTATTTTTGCTAAATAAGCCCGAGAATATCTTTGTTACCTCTTATGGATCATATAGGTTATTGTTTAAAGTTGTTTGCTATTTCTGCTAGAGAGAAAGATTTAAAATCTCACTCTTTTATTAAAAAAAATGGTACTAAGGTGTGCAACTCAGACTTCCTCTCTCAAATGAAAAAGTACTGATGATATTCATATTAGATCAGAGCCATTCGATAGCATAAAAATGGGAATTACTAGACCATCTACAGGGCTCTAAATGATATAAAATAACATTGTATTAAACACAAAGATTTTTTTATTTCAACCAAAGCTCTCTATACATCTTTTATTCATCTCTTGCCATATAGATAACTTTGTGAGTTTCTGCTTATAGATGAACATATTCTTTATATGAGGGGAAATTTTCTATTATTATGAAGCCATGGCTTGGTATATATCTGAGAAAACTTATGTGCTAGCAAGTGCTTCAATTTCACTTTTTTCACAGTATCTACCACCGAGCTGAGTACAGAGTATCTACTGAATAAATATTTGTAGACTAATGAATAAAATAATTTGTTTGTGGTAGAATCACATGGACGTCAAGCTCTACTTGGTATGCTTTCATGTACTATATATTTACACTGAAATATAAAATTTGCATTCCATTGAAAATTATATTTTGTGCAAAAATTTCTCTCCAAGCACCAATTGTTGCTACAAGTTTTCAGTTAGAAGTTCAAAATCTTGGCAAATTAAAGTAACACCAAGCCCTCAAATCCTTTTTTCTTTTCTTTTTTCTTTTTCTTTTTCTTTTTTTTTTTTTTGCAATGTATGATGCATAAGAGACTGTACTGTTATCAATTTTATTTAAATACAAAGTCCTATAATATTGTGAGCTTGATTTTTAGCATACATATTTTAATAAAACCTATAGTTTTAACATAATATATCATAGGAATTTACGGTTATTTACATGTATTTATATCCTCTGAGCAAAAAATTAATATCAATTATTCTCATTCAAATTATAAGAAATGGGTGTACTAATTTAAGAATTGTAAATAATCAAATTCAATTTGATTACAAATAATATAGCCAGAGAGTATATTTCTCTGTCTTCACATATTTACTGTTTTTCTCAAATCACTTCCATGAAAACATGTTAATTGTCAACATCATTTATAACTGTTTTCCATAAAACTAAAATTAAACTGACAGGTACTTCAGTACATCTTACTTAACTTTTACATTTTTTCAACTTCTCTGAAGGATAAAATGCTATCACATGATAATTCAGTAATATATTTTTCATAAACAAAAATGGGTCTCTAAATTTATTAGGAGAAGTCGAGGCTTGAAATACTAATCCAAATCTAGTAAAAGTCAAATATATGACAGTTGAAAAGAGGTTATACAACCAAAGCTATATGAAGACAGTTTCTGAAGAAACTGTTAAAAGTACAAATAATTATCTTTTTATTGTTCTTGAGGAAAGTAATGCAGAAATATCCTTTTTATTTCATTTTTATTCTATCCACTTTTCATTGCAGCTGTGAATGAGACTACTGACTTTCAGGTAGTGTTAATAACATACTAACAAGACCATTAAAATCACCCTTGATTTTACTTTATAGAATAAAATAACTTACAATGTCAGTAAAAGTTAGTTATTGTTATATATTTATTATTATTGGAACTACAACAATCTGGCATAGCATTAGTTTTTAAACCAACATAGCAATTAAATGTAATTTGCCAGTTTTGTTTACTAGGGTCCACGTTACTTCTTTTGGTTTTAACCTCAGGCCCATGGCATACCTCAATGTGCTACAACTTATTTCTATTAACAAAGCTTCTAGTTGGTCTAGTAAAGGTCCATGAGCACATCCAGTGTGAAATTTACAAAGAAGTTATGTATCTATTGCTTCCACTTATTTTTTTCACTACAAAGTTGCTAATGCTTGTTGAAAATGTTAAAAAATTCAAAAGTACTTAAATTATGGCATTAACTTTTCATCTTTAATCCCCTCTAGTTTCATCCCCTACACCCACACACATCAACGATAACCATGTTCACAGCTCTGGAACTGTCCAGATCTCGCTCAGCTTACCACAGCATAATGCCTCTCAACATACATCAGCAATTGGAGGAGGAAAGTGTGGGATGTATTTGTACTTACGCCAAAGCAATAAGCACCCTACCTTTTATTGTGCAATTGCAAACTTACCATGTAAAAGGAAAATTAGTAAGAATCTAAAGCTGACTACATATATTGGTCACTTTCCTGACCAATTCTCCACTCGATTAGGTTGTCAGTTATAACCGGGCAAAGCTGAATTAAAACATCATTTACGGTTTTTTGTTTTTTGTTTTTTTCTTTATAGCCAAGATAAGGCAAGACAGGTTCTTGGCAGGAAAATTTAGAAGATTTTCTCTGTGCCAAGCTTGATACCAAGTGCTTTATATTTAGTTTTCACAACAATCTTACAGGACAGATATTTTTATCTCAATTTGATAATGAGAAAATTAAATTTACTTGTCCAAAGTCCTTCAACTAGGAAGACTATTAATCAATATTTGTACTCAAATGTGCCTGAGTTCATTGTGCTACTTAAATAAAAATTATTTCAAAGAGTCAAAAAACAGATTCCAAAGACATATTTGCAAGAAACTGTGAACTTAAGTGATTGCTCCACTGTAGGTTACTCATTTTATTAACTACTTTTACAATACTTTTAAAAGCACACCCTCATACATTACTGCACTGTATTTTACCAATGGTATTTTGTCCAAGAATTCCATTCTCAAAAGAAGTCTAAATTTTAGACTTGACTATATATCAAATAAAATTATTCATATAATTGTTGGAACACTCAGAGAAAAGTGGAAGAAGATTGCCACTTTATATATTTAAACTTGTGGCTTATTACACAACACACCACATGTGGTGCACTATGACTTGTTTATATAGCCAAAAAGTTATCTGGTAAATGGCACAAATTTTCTTGCATTATATTTTATGTGCCTGTACCTGTGTGTCTCGGCATGTGTATGGGGGGTTAATTTGTTAAATGTAAATGTTTAATGCCAAAACAATAACATTTTTGGCATTTATTTCTTAGTGTACTATATTGGGGTATTAAAAATTAAAATGTTCCCAGACTGTCTTTATCACTGATAAAAAGTGGGACTAGAAACTCCCCTCAAGTCCTTGGCTAGTGTCCATGCTATTGTCCTATACTGATGTGTATCCCATTTACCAACATTATATTGATGATTTACATGTTGTCCAATGCTTTTACCATTTCCTACCATGGGTGCTTGAAATTTTTGCTTGTTTTAAATAATACCTAAAGCACATCACTCAAGAAAATATAAATCAAGCATTGTCACAGAAGAATAAATTTGTGTGAATGGGTCACATTTCTCTAGCAAAGTATTTATGAATAACATGAAAAAAAAGAAGTAGATTAAGTCCCTTTTAAACTTTTATTTTCCAGCTGCAAGGCATAAAAGAAATATATTTTAAATGGTAACCCACAGGCTATATATGGCTATGTGTAACTAAAGTGAAGATTTAAAAAAATATCTAACCTTACTATGATGTAATACATGTTGATATTTATATTGTACTGTAGTATATTTTAATGTATTCTACATTAAATTCTGATTTCAACTCTGCAAATTGGTTTTACAAATCACTTATGAGTTATGATCCACTATATGAAAAAAGCCCATGGGCTAGATAATCTCTTTCTTTAGATTCTCCGTGTGTGTGTGTGTGTGTGTGTGTGTGTGTATGTGAGAAAATCAATGTGTAAATGTAACATTGGGCTGAAATCTCTCTACAATGTCCCTTAAAATAAATGTATTTGACTATTACACCTCTTGCCAAAGCATCTTCTCAATTCAACATTTTAATGTTTGATAAATCTTTCTGGAGTATCCGCAAATGTGCCAAAATGAGATTTCATAACTCACAGCCCTGATGAATTCCAGAGAATTGTCTTTCATATATAAGGCTACGTCATTTACAATATGTCTTCCTGCTCTTAAAAAAATTCTGTACCATATTGCTTTCTGCTATTATTGGCATCTTAAGGACAGAGTGTGGAGCCTGTGACGGAGATGTAAATAGAAACAACCAGGCAGAGTCTGTGCTTGTCATCAGACTCACGGAGAGGTCTTCTGTGAGGTCAACTTGTTGCCACAGGCCTCCTCCTTAATTTGTTTTCTTCTCACTATAATTAACCCATTCCATGGGAACAAGGAAAGGTGCTGCTTTCAAAGCTACATAAAAAGACACAGAAATATGCTCAAAAGATACTCTCAGTAGGGAAAAAGATAGTGTTTTTGTTTGTTTGTTAGTTTCCCAGGAGGGAAAAATGAACCAAGAGATGTCCATTCTACTTTTCCTTGGAGCCACAACTACTTCAGTGCAAAGGAATAAGATATAGATTTGTTTCCAAAGACTTGGCCTTGGATCCAAATCCTTGCTCTGCCAGTAACTTTAGCTGCAGGAAAAAAAAAAAAAAAAAAAAAAAAAAAAAAAAATCACTCTTTCCTTGTCCATTGTACTGAAATGGGTATTTTATCAGATTGTGTTAAGAAATAAATGAACAAAATAACAAATTTTGAAATATAGTATATGTGATTATGTTTTAACTCACAGAGTAATAAAAGATCAGATGGCATTTGACTGTCAACATTGCGAATTATCAAAATAACAAATAATCTAACATCATTCCTCCCTCAACTGAGGTTTAAGTCTATTTTCCCAGAGTCTTCCAAGTGACTGTCTATTCCAGGCATGGGCACAAGGAATTACAAAGAACTAACTCACTACGTCCTAAAAGAGGTAATTCCTTTATTGAACAGTTTTGCTAATAACAACAAAAAATTAATTACACCATATTTTGTTACTCTGGTATTTCAGTAATTAGCTGTCTCTGGCAACTGCTGACTAGAGTGAACCTAGCTTTTTCCCATCTAATTTACAAATACCTGAATAAGTGAAATATGTAATTATATCAGATACCTAAAGTAGCCGTCAGGGCCCTGCCATGTATTGTCTTCTCTCTACTAAATTTATTCTCTGATGATCTGGGTTCAAATCGCATAACCATTTGGGCTACTCTCCTTTGAACAGCCCCTGCTTGGCTGCATTTGATATGGGTCTTGCCCTGTCACCCAAGCTGAGTGCAGTTAATCAGTCTCAACCTCTTGTCCTCAAGTGATCCACCTGCCACAGTCTCCCAAGTAGCTGGGACTACAGGTACATACCACCATGCCTAGCTAGTTGTCTTTTTCTTTTTTTTTTTTCTTTTAAATTTTTGTAGACATGGAGCCTTACTATGTTGCCCACCCTATGTCCAGCATTTAATGTAGTCAAACTGTAGTTTGAAGAAGTTTGAGCAAAGCAAGTCACAGACACTTAGCCTTGGAAGAAATCTGTAAGAACATTCTTTGTAGTGCCTTTCTGCATTAAAAAAAAAAAAAAAAAAGATACAAGGAGTTGAAGCGACTTTCTGGAGTCACAGAGTAAAATCCTTAGTTCTCATGTCAGTTATCTTAGTTTTCGCACAGTCATTTTAACTTATTTTTCCAACCCCAAAATATTATTAATGTAATCTTCATATTTTATCTGTCCACTCTCAAATTAATAGGATAATGACCAGGCTTACACAAGAGCCTCCAAAAACAAACAAACCAACAAACCAACAAACAACAACAAAAAAAATGAAACAAAAACAAAACAAAATGAAACAAAACAAAACAAAAACTCTTCCAGTTAAAAAGAGATGAGGAAAATCATAAATTATAAGGAAAGACAATGTCAGTTGTGGTGGCTCACGTCTGTGTAATCCCAGCACTTCCGGAGGCCAAGGCAGGAGGGTCACTGGAGCCTGGTAGTTTGAGACCAGCCTGGGAAATATAGTAAGGCCTCATCTTTACAAAAAATTAAAAAATAAAAATTATTCACATGTGGTGATATGTGCTTGTAGTCTCAGCCACTTGGGAGGCTGAGCGAGGAGGTTGAGACTGCAGTGAGCTATAACCACGCCACTCTTCTTCAGCCTGGGGAATAGAGAGAAACCCTGTCTCAAAGAATAAAAAAGAGAAAGGGAGAGAGACAAAGAGAAGGGAAGGAGGGTAGGAAGGTAAGAAGGTATAAAGGAAGGAAGTAATCGAAAGAGGAGGAGGACAGAAAAAGAGGAGGAGGGAAGGAAGAAAAAAAATTTCAAGCTACTTCCTCTAGAGTTTTGAGGATCTCTATTCTTACTTTTTCTTACATGCTTGCTTGGTTTATGTTGAGTAGAATTTGCTGTGCATAATCTGCTTTTCATTCTGTGTTTTGTGTGTTTTAAGCTGTACATTGGAACATAAACATCTCACAGCATGCCCTCTCATTCCCCAGCTTTCCTTATGCAGAAGCAACTTCAACAGAAATAGCTGAACATTATAAACATAGAAGCTAAAAGGTTATAATGATATCTGGAATGAGGGTGACGAAGTGAAAACATACATGTGTGCAGCTGCCATCTATAAGCTGAGCAAATACTGAATACTTGACAGGCTACATACTCAGAGATGTCCTTCACATTTAGGTATGCATTTGATTATTTAGCGCTGTGAAAGTGTGCACATTTGCACATCACCAGAGATATTTGTGCATTATGGGGTAGCAGTACAATGACATCTGCTGAAAACAAAATTGCTTTTAACTAAGCTTAGTCATCCTGGACATGGAGCATTTGTGGGAGATTTCTAGTACTTTCAACAACTGATGATGCAATGGTGCCTAAGAGAGAGGAAGGTGGTATTTTATCCCAGGCATGTGTCTCTTACAGGTGAGTCAGAGTCCAAACCAGAAATTGTATCATCAGAAATAAATCTCAATATACAGCAAATACTGCCCAACTCACATGGGGATATGTCAGTGGATTCTATATTTTTCTCTGAAAGAGGCAGTAATAACTCACTTATAAATTATTGACTGAATCCATAGGCTGTTGCTTCTGGAAGGGAAGAGGAGACAGTACTCCTTTGAACACTCTTTCCAGGGTCATCTGTATTTCTTTCACTGTCAGCAATGAAGTTTCTGACAGTGATATATGAATATGAATAACTACTTCTTTATAACTAGAGTTGCCCACTGTGTTTCCCAGATTATGGATTCATGATCCAACTTAGCAAAGAATTTCCCTAAAAGTCTCTGCATCTTCTAAATTTATGTATTTTTAGGTCAATGATAACCAATATAGTTATAGAATAAATCCATAATTTCAAAGATTTCTGGGGATCTCATGTTTTCCGAATTTTTGTGAACCAAAGGAACATCTTTCAGAGTTTCTGCAAACATTCGATATAACCCAGGAAAAGGATCACTTCATCTAATTTACAGATCAAGAGCAAAGGGATCATGCTGTTTCTCAAGGCTAATTTTTATTTTTGAGTTTCACTTTGTAACCCAGGCTGGAGTGTAATGGTGCAATCTTGGCTCACTGCAACCTCTGTCTCCCAGATTCAAGCGATTCTCCTGTCAAGGCTAGTTTTTGGATGAACTACTTCATTTATTGCCCTTTCTACTATTTCAGATAGCTATTAAAACTTTCAGTCAATTGTTTAGAAATATTGTTGCCACTGAGATAAAGGGAGAAAGAATAAAACAATGCAATGGAGAGGTAGAAAAATGACAAAAAGGAACTTGAGTAACAATCTCCAACAATGTTGTGGAAACCAATTTCTAGACAGGAGTCTTGAGTTCCAAGACTCAACTCTGCAACTCGTTATCTGACAAGCAAGGTAGAGTTACGTGATCTTTTTATCTCAGTTTCCTTAACTGTAAAATACAGAAGATAAAATGTTGGCCTCAGACCTTCCAGTGTTAACATTCTTTGAAATGAACAGTAGTTTATGTGTCTTTATTATTACCATGATCATCCCAAAATTTGTTTCAGCTCTCAGCACTATTCCACTCTTGGACAAACAAAATACATTCCTTTTAAAAATTATTCAGTAGCTTCCACAGTGGCATTTACTATTTTTCCAAGCTCAATTGTAGTCTTGATATAGTGATAGTTAGTAGAAATGCTAAGATGGAAAAAGCATACTCCCACTTTTTAGAATTCAAACAAGCATGGAGACTATGAATCACACTGAAGGTCCTTCAATCAAAGCTGGATTGTTATCACATTTTTAAGTAAATAATTGATAGGAAGTCATATCATAATCTGAAATTGCAATCTCTAGGTTAACCTGTAGGCAATATTTTTAATGATGTATGCTACCAGTACAATTTTTTTGGTACATTTTTCTCCCCAGAACATTACTGATATATGTTTCTTTTTTTTTTCTTTTTTCTTTTTTTTTTTTTTTTTTTTTTGCTATAACAAATTAACATTTCTATGTGGTTAGACAGAAATCAAAAATTCAAGAAACAGTGAAAACAAAAAATGGAGTGTAGTATGACCAAGATTTTATGGTTAATCAAGGGAGTCATTTTGACACCTCATTTTCTGTGTGGTTTTTTTTTTGGCATTTTAGGTTTTGGGGTACATGTAAAGAACATGCAAGATTGTTGCATAGGTACACACATGGCAGCATGATTTGCTGCCTTCCTCCCCATCACCTATATCTGGCATTTCTCCCCATGCTATCTCTCCCCAACTCTCTACCCCCTGCTGTCCCTCGCCTATTTCCCCCCAACAGACCCCAGTGTGTAGTGCTCCCCTCCCTGTGTCCATGTGTTCTCATTGTTCAACACCGGCCTATGAGTGAGAACATGCAGTATTTAATTTTCTGTTCTTGTGTCAGTTTGTTGAGAATGATGGTTTCCAGGTTCATCCATATCCCTACAAAAGACACAAACTCATCGCTTTTGATGACTGCATAATATTCCATGGTGTATATGTGCCACATTTTCCCTGTCCAGTCTACCCATCTGACAAAGGGCTGATACCCAGAATTTACAAAGAACTAAAACAGATTTACAAGAAAAATCCAAACAAGCCCATTCAAAAGTGGGCAAAGCATATGAAAGACACTTCACAAAAGAAGACATAGATGAGGCCAAAATACATATGAAAAAATGCTCATCATCACTGGTCATTAGAGAAATGCAAATCAAAACCCACTGAGATACCATCTCACACCAGTTAGAATGGCAATCATTAAAAAATCTGGAGACACCTCATTTTTATAAAGAAGCAAAACTAAAAATTTACAAGTACCTTCTATTTATTCACATACTATAGATTCATAAATATCGAGCTAGGTACTATGCTAACACAAATCCCTCTATTCAGCAGAAAGTCTTTGAGCACCTATTATATGCTGGTGCATTCTAATAAGCCTTGTGGATATACTATAGATTTTCAACTAAAATCAGGAAAACTAGTGAAGTGTGAAATCCTGTAAATCACACCAAAAGTACAATATACATGGATTTTTTTTTGGTAAAAAATGCAATACGATAATTACTTTTCTCAATAACACTGAACTAGATCAAGGTAAAGAATATAATAATAAAATATATGCAAGTGCTTAACTATTTAAAACATTCAGACTTTAAGGAAACCTATCACATTTCTGGCCACAGAAGTTTGGGCAAAGCATTTTAAATATTCCTTCTTACCCACAGCATTTATTGTTTTATTTCATATTCAAATTTCAAGAATATTAATGCATGTTAATTTATTTCATTTTGCTTTGGAAGTTTAAGAAGCAGTATCTTATTTGAGAGGAGGGGGCTTGAAGACTAAAGTGAGAGGGATGAATATGTTTATACTGGACTCCATCCTGAAGGCATTTTTTATTGCTCACAATAGTAGTCAGTTAGGTAATGTTGAGGGTTTCAGCTGGGCTTAATTATGTGATTGCAATTAGCTGTGGGTCAGGAAGGCAATTCTGTTGCCTTCTAAAAGACATGTTTGAGGTCAAGTGGTTTAAGATGCACTCATTTGGAAAACCTGGGTGCTCTCATCCTTCACAGGTTGATGATAGGTTTCCAAAACAAAGTAGGAAGATGGTTCTCACATCAACCAAGTGCTATCGGTCAAAGTAGTCAGATGGCCAGCGCTACATGAAAGTGAAGGGGAATTATCAGGTCAAAAGCAAATGATGTGAATGCAGGGGCACCATTAGCAGAAGTTATCAATGCAATCTGCCACACTGCTAAACAGGCAAGCACCATCAGTCCTGTGTCATCATGGGCACATGTACCAAGGTTTGCAAAAGTACCAAGACAAAGGACCCGTTACATTTCCTTAGTGCAGACAGAGTTGTAACTCCCTTTAAAAAAGTGATTTTATTTTTCTTCTGAGTCATTGCATATTCCTTTCCTCTGCCCAGCTGAAAAGCTAGTTTGATCTGCTCTTTAAAGATGCTTTTTTTTTTCTCCATCTTCTGTTTTATACTATGAATCTCTTTGCCTGGAAATTCTAGGCATAATTTCAGTGTAATAGAATAAGCCGCGGTAAATACCCAGTCACACAGCTTACTAAAACCATAAATCACAAGAAACAGCAAGTGTAAGAGATTAACTCTGAAGCTGAAACCCTGTTTTCTTTGTAGGCTCCTCTGGAATTCTACGATAACATACACTTTCTTGAAGGGACATCTTCAAGGGAACCGGTGACACAGTATGGTCAGGTTTAAGCATAAAATACATAGGCAATTAGGACAATAAACGTTTTTTAAAAATAGGACTACATCTTTTCATAGACCTTAATGGTTAGTGTGAAAGCATTTGGAAATGTCCACACTCTTCAGAAAAGAGAATATTAACTCAACGAAAGAGAATAATTATAATTATAAGAATCTGATAAATTATCAGATACTAGGATTAATTCTCCTAATGCTAGAGAAAATCACCTCAACCCAGCCACAGAAAAAGACTGAATGATAACCGACACTCATTTCATGGGAGATCCCATCAAGATTTCCTGAAAAACCAAGCTGCAAAAACCAAGCATCACCTTGGAGAGTTTCCATGGTAGCCAACAGAGCTGTATCCTGTTTGTCTCTCACTTTCCTGATCCTGGAAGTGAGTTTCACCTTGTGAAAATTCCTACCATGACATTCTTATACTGATAAATCATAAGACTTAATACAACATAACCTCATTATCCACATACTTGCTTGGGATCAATGCAAGATAAACATTTTTTGACACAACCACATGAACAGTAAGCCAAGGAGTATTTCTTCCAGCCTTTGAATGTTCAGTTCCAAGGTTTGCTCTCTCCTGAATTGTGGTAGTACAACCTAAATGTTTTGCCTGAATTTGGCAATGCAATTTCTATTATCTTTTGTTTGCCCACAAATAGAATGTTTTCATGTAATTGTTATATTTCAGGAGGTAAATTATATATTTAATATAGAGTTTAAAGTGTATGTACGTAAAAGGTGTGCATTAAAATATATCACCTTATTTCTTAACTTAGATTTCCTCTCAGAAGCAGCAACTCTTAATTTTGCTCTTCTCTGAAAATAATTCTATGAATATCTAATCAAATTGTTTGTATAAAAACTTTCAGAAAAAAAAAATGTCATATATACAGAAGTGCGCCTTTTTTTTTTCACCTAAGATGGTCTTAGAGATTGTAATCATTACCTAATAGAGTGCCTCATTTATTTTAATAGCTACATGATAATGCATTGTGTGAATGCATCATCACTTATTTTATTAGGTAATTAGATTGCCATTGGGATAAATTCAGGATAAAGCAACAGTTTAAACTAGTAAAAGCCAAGGGTCATGGCTAAGAGTCTCCCTTGGAGCACAATCAAATTAGCATTTGTCACATAGTGACCAAGCCCTGCTCTTCTGAAGCTAGAAGGAAGTCCCTAATAAAATGTATGATTCATTTGAGGCAAACCAAAACATATCCTTATAATTGGCCTTTTCAAACACATTTTTACTTTCTCACCTCATCATATTTTCTTATGCTTTTCACTGAAAGCCATTCCTGCTAATTTTCACCAATTGTCAGTATTATTCTGGTTAAATTTCAATTGTCAAATTCCATTTTCTTCTGTAAGATTCCCACCATGACCCCCATAACCACAGAACAGGAGGTGATTTTTTTTCTCCATCAATTTCCTTTAGACTCAGATTTGTAACATTGTGTCATCTTGCATTATGGTTATATATGTATTTGTGCATGCCTTCTCTCCTTTGCCAGATTGCAAGCCTACTCAAGTCTATGATATAGAAAACAAAGGACTATCCTTCACAGGATTGTCAAAGAGCTTTGCATACGTATTTGTGCACAATAATATGTGTAGCATAAATACATTCCCAACCTCTGAAGTGGGGCAAGTTAACTTAATTCTACATGGTACTGGACTGGAATATTTGAACTACATTGATATGTTATTGCAGACTTTTAAAATCTCAACAAATGTAATAGTTCAATAATTTATAAAATGTATTTTGTATCTTCAATATTCTATAGTGTTTAATATACACATTTTGTTTTTCTAGAAGTGTTGCATAACAAGTGAGTCTCCCACTTTGGGTCACAACCTCTATAGGTCAAAACAAAACTTTTCCAAACAGCCTTGGTCAAGAGCTAACAAATCATGTATATAAAGCATTTTTAAAACACCATAAAAAACGCTACTTATTATTCACTGTTATAAATCATCAGTCAATATTTTCTCTCCTCGCTATTCTTGGAGCGTAAAGAAGCAATAAATTTTAAAGCAAATATGTTGAATTATTTAAAATTATACTCCTCAAATACGTCCTATACAAGGATAAAATTAATTTCTTCTTATTTCCATTTTGGATTTGACCATACATTCTTCTGAAAACCTCATTTAAGAGTAAATTTTTTGGGAATTCTCTATAACAACACACCTAGGCAAGAACTGGCTATTACCTTCAGTCCTATGTGTATTTACGTATACCTAGCTTTAACTATTAGAAAGAATAGGCATCTAGAACAATCTTGAAATGACAAAAATGTGAGGCATTCAATAAAGATATAGAGACTTAAAAATCTCTAGTAATGAATATATAAGAAATCATAGCAGAAGTACAATATGGCATCAATATAGCAGAAGTAAATAATGAAATTCATAATTTAAGACAAAATTTGATTTCACCAAATGTTGGCCATATACACCCTTCTATAGCTTAAGTCTATGCCTCTCTAGATATCTGCCATCCAATCCCTTCCTATGGTATGTTATAACTGGGACAATTCAAAATATCTAAAATAATTACGAATAGTTTAGTCTTTCCAAACCTGAAAGTTTAACTGTTGAGTGCGTAATATATATTCAATGTATGCAAAGAAAACTTACCTTCTGTGTGCACAGCTGATACATAGGTCCAGTTGTACCTCTTCACTATGTCCACCATAGCCCTTGCCTGCTGAGCATCTGAAGGCACAACCCTCATGAAATACTTGAACAGAGTCTTGTCACTCAGATCCATGCTGGTTGCCGAGTAGGCAATCTGAGGTATGTTGAAAAGCTGGAGCAAGTTCTGGACCTGAATGGCTACAGAACTGGAGCCAGGCCCAATGACCCCTACTATGGGCTTCTTGGAGCGGAAGGAAGAGGAAGAGCCATCCACACAGCGTACCAAGCCCTCTTCCTCTTCTGAAGAAATGAGGGAATCTCTTATGAACTCAATGCTCTGCTCTAGGGCCACAGCCGAATGCCAGCAGGAATCCCTTATCTCACAGCCCAGTGTGATGTTGGGCAAGAGTGTGGGGTCTGAATTGATTCTTTCCAGGGTATGCAGCATGGCCTCCACTCTCTGAATGCCATACTGTTCACGGACCGCCCCACACTTCCTCTCATGAACTTTGTCCACAGTGGGCTGGTGATGAACGGAAAAGAGAGCTCCGATAATGATGTCACCTGGCATGTGAGCCACCACCCTCCTCTCACTGGACTGTGCACTCCCACGGACATCTTCTTTCAAAAGTAAGACTGACAGGATCAACAGAAGGACCATTTTAGGAAAGGAGTTCAAGCTAATAAAGATAGCATGGTGGGGAAAATTCAGGAGTGTTCTGATAGATGTGAAGAAGCAATGTCCTATGTTGAGTTGCAAATCAAGAAATTAGCCACCAATTCAGATGTATTCTCTAAAGGGCCATTGTTTCACCATGTACCATTGAGTTAGATGATCCATATGATCATAATCTTCAAAACCTGAAAAAAAAATAACATGGGACTTTAACAAACATAAGCATAACTAGTCTGGAGAAGTTCTATGATTCATGTCAGCAAAGAAGGAATGTTTTAATGACACAGATAACAGAAAAAAAATCCAAAAATTTTTTCTGACTTTACGTTGCCTACTTCCTTTGTGATCTGACGAAGCAGCTGATGTAGCTCCTTGACCCTGCCTTGCATAGATTAATATTCTTTATTTGTTCACCTGCAACACACAAAACCAAATTTTGTATGTGGCAGGCAGAACTGTACTCTCAGGCAGAGGCGGGAGAGCATCCTAGAAGCAAAACTATGCCATGAACAGAAAACTTCAAGACGTATGCACCCCAGAGGATTAAACAGCATTTATCTCTTGGTAATGGAAGTGTGAATAACTGTTTTTAAATTTTCATTATGCTTTCTCTTCTTTTGAAACAGTTAGCATTGATCATGTAATTAATTGTGCAATTACAAAAACAAAATTATCTTTTCAAAAATACCCCACATATTCTCTCTCCCAAGGCAACGCCAAGCAAGTTGAACAATCATTCCTGGAATAAATGAGTACTGTGTTGAATTAATGTAGAAGATATAACAAAAACAAATGAGGAAAAGTAGGTGTTTCATGGTAAATGTACCGTAGAAGAGAAAGGAAAAGGTTAGGATATTAGAGAGTAAAATGTCCCCCAAATAGGTGCAAGAAACAGTGAAATTAGCACTAACTTTTAGAAAAAGAATATTCGCATTTTAATCCCCATTTTTCTATTAAGAAGTAGTATTAAACTGTTTAACCTCTCAGTACCAGAATCTGCTCACCTGAAAAATGGGAATACTATCTGCTAGGCTGTCCCTTATGGGAATCAATATAAGATATCAACTATGTAAATGATTTATAAATTAAATCGGGCTATATATATTTTAAATGACTTTCCTGTTATTAAATTTTCAAGGACATTCTGTGGCTAGGTGGTGAGAACAGAAAATTCTCTGGCAACCCACTTGGTCCTCCAGAGAGTCTTCAAAGTAATTACAGAGCCTTGTAATAAAATTCACAGTAATCAGTCCTCCAGCCCTGATCCAAAAAAATTCCACATCACTAAGGCTCAAAGGGCTAAAAGGATGTATGTTTGTAACTATTCTGCCAGGTAGAAGTTTAGGATAGCTATGAATGTCATCATCTATTTCAATTTTAATTCCTGGGAAGAAGGAAAATTTGTCCCAAGTTTTCTATGGCAAATTCTAGCATAATTTGTAAAAGAGAACTGGCAAATTAGTAGTTTGATTACTTAAGAGACTTATTTTGTTATCAACTCTGCCAACCAAGGATCTCAAATTATTTTAAAGTTACTAACTTCCTAAGCACTGACTTTCAAAAACAGGTGATGTTTCTTCAGGAATGTATGTAAATGTCACACTTTTACAAGAACTCTAATGGTCTGAAAGCTTGTCAAATCTACAAAATGTCCAACCCAGACACAAAATCAATGTAACTTGAATCACATTTCTAATCACTCCTATCATCATTTTCACTATTTCCTTGTACTGTTTTCTATGGCAACAAAGTCTTCCTCTGTACAGCACCAAGTACTTAAATTTTAAAAATTTTATCAAATAACCCAATGTTCCAGAATAACAAGACTTTTGGAAACATATAGAAAAAAAACAGTTTTAGCACAAAAGTTGGGATTGGGGACAAGGGGGAAGAAATAAAGACTAATGTTAGTTTTCTCCTGAATATTACCAAATTTTCTTTCAATTTCCTTAGACCTAAAATAATTATTCTCACAGTAACGTGAATTCTACCGCAGACAAAAAGAAAAATCTGAAGTTAAAAAAAGTGCAATTTCTTATTAAATCAGAACGCTAGTGAGCAAACAATAACAAAACAGGACATATGTTTTAGGTAAGAACATCAAAGTGATATGAGGAAACAATCACTTTGATCCCATCAAGCTTGTGTAGCTCGAGTATCAATCCCATGCATTTTATTCATTTAAGTTGTTTTATGAAAGCCCTACATATGAGATACAATATACATACTAAAACACTAAAATATCGCCTTTTGAAGTTATGCTAAATTTGTTACTTATTTCATTTAACAAAAAAAAAAAATTCACTATTGAGTGGAAGAGACTAATGTAACCAAGAAGTGTAATAATATGCATTGATAAGTATCATCATCTTTCGTTGAGCACCTATCATGCCCCACCTATTTATTAACTCATTTAACAAATATTTATGGTATACATATGCCATAATTCTGATCTCGGAATTGGATATTCAAGAGTGAGCAAAGTATATGAGCTCCCTATACTTGTGGGTCTTACATAGTAGTATTCTAAAGGGTAACTTTTAGATGAAAGCTGATGAATTCAAATAAAAATAAGGATCAAATAGTATTTCTATCTTTAGATCTTTGAAGAATCACTACACTGTCTTCCATAATGATTGAATTAATTTATCTTCTCACTGCAGAAATACCATTAAACCCAGCAATCCTATTACTGGGTATATACCCAAAGAAATATAAATCATTCTATTATAAAGAAACATGCACACATTTGTTCATTTCAACACTATTCACAATAGCAAAAAAAAAAACAAAATCAACCTAAATGCCCATCAATGATAGGCTGGATAAAGAAAGTGTGGTAAATATATACCATGGAATACTATGAAGCCATAAAAAATAAGATCATGTTTCTGGCAGCGACATGGATGGAGCTAGAGGCCATTAACCTTAACAAATTAACACAGGGACGGAAAACCAAATACTCCATGTTCTCACTTGTAAGAAAGAGATGAATGATGAGAACACATGGACACTTAGAGGGCAACAACATTCACTGGGGCCTATTGGTGGGTGGGAGGAGAGAGAGGATCAGGAAAAATAACTAGTGGATACTTGGCTTCATACCTGAGTGATGAAATAATATGTACAACAAATCCCCATGACACAAGTTTATCTATTAACAAACCTACACATGTACCCATAAACTTTAACAATAGGGGAAAAAAATAGAAGAATGAAAAAGCCAGTAAAAAATGTGCCTAGAACACGAACTTGGGAGGGATGGTGATACAAGATGAAAATGGAAAGACAATTACGGTCCAGGCCACGTAAGCTGTTGTAGGCTCTTATAAAGAATTTTAATGTTGGCCAGGTGCAGTGGCTCACACCTACAGTCCCAGAACTTTGGGAGGCCAAGGTGGGTGGATCACTTGAGGCCAAGAGTTCAAGACAGGAAAGACAAACATGGTGAATCCCCATCTCCACTAAAAATACAAAAATTAGCCAGATGTGGTGGTGCACACCTGTAATCCCAGCTACGTGGGAGGCTGAGGCAGGAGAATCACTTGAACCCAGGAGGCAGAGGTTACAGTGAACCAAGATTGTACCACCACTGCACTCCAGCATAGGGTGAGAGAGTGAGACTCTATCTCAAAAAAAAAAAAAAAAAAAAAAAAAAAGAATTTAATGTTAAGCACAACAGGAAGCCATTGAGGAGATTTAAGCAAATGACTGACACAAGTTAATTTTAGAAAGGATTAACTGGCTTCCCATTTTTCTGGATAATCAATTGGAGAAATCTTATAAGGAAAGTGGTAATAATCTAGCAAGAAGTGATGGTGGCTTCTCTATGATTGGTGACAATGGATATGGAGAGAAGTGGTCACAGTCGGATATATTTTCCAGGTAGAATCAACTGTACTTGCTGATGGCCTAAATGTGAGTAGCAAGGTAGAGAGAGGAATCAGAGTCTACTCCTAGGCTTCTAGTTTGAGAACCTAGTAAATTTGGACAGCATTAATAGTGATGGGATAGACTGGTACATAAACAGGTGAGGGCAGAAGAAAATTAATGATTTTCTTTTGAAAACCCTAAATTTGAGATGCCTTTTGAGGTATCCAGGTACAGATCTCAAACAGGAAAGTGGATAGGTGAGGCTGGCCTCAGGAGAGAGTTTTGATTTAGAGATGTAAATTGAGGGTCATCAATGTATAAAATATTTAGAATGCATGAAATCACCTGGAAAGGAAGTATAAATATCATAAAGGTAGAGCTAAAAAGTAAACTCTCCCGAGGAGCCAGTTTTGGGAAAAGTCAACTACAAAAAGGATGCAACCCAAAAAGTAACATAAAATAAGAGTACGTGATGTCATAGAAGCCAAATGAGAATGTTTTAGGCATTTTATTTTCAAAGACATATACAAGGCTTATATATTTCAGAGAAAAACGCATCTGATTCACATGGAAGATATTATATTCCATGTGTACTCTATACCTTGAAGATTTCTGACACAATGGCTATGTCTTTGAGTGAGTCTGTGTCAGTGGCATATGTATATCAATAATCCTTATAACAGCCATAAAATGTAGATTGAGCAACTCCTACATAAAGTGATGGGACTGGAATTCAGATTTCAGAATCTTTCAGATTTTGGAATAGTCACATTATACTTATTTATTACTTGAGTGTTCCAAATCCTAAAATCTGAAATCTGAAATATTCCAATAAGAAATTTCTTCTGAGCGTCACGTGAGTATTCAAAATGCTATAATTCTGGAGCATTTCAGACTCTGAGTTTTTGAATTTTGGATGTTTGAACTGTATTATTTGATTATCATTATTTTACAAATGACATAATGGGTTTTGATATGTTAAAAACTAGGCAATCAAACACTTGTCTATGCCTGTTGACTTTATAACACATTGTTGCAACTATTCCTTGCTGCCTCACAGCCTCTTCCTACCAAATTAAAGAAAAGATATTACCAATGTCCATGTAAATGAGAAGGGCCACCCAGATGCAATTTGAACATCTCAGAGATATAGAATCTTACAGGAGTCATGTTTCAAACTATATGGTAAAGAGCATCCTGAGGAAAAAAAATGATTCAGCACAGACAAACACAGAAGGTACAAGTGTGTAGGTTATCTAGTACAAGGGTATTTACATTGCCCTGATATCCACCCACAAATTATGGCGCATCA